TTTTTGACCAAAATTTTGCGTACGTACTTTGTGCACGCCGCCTAAGTGCTTCCAACACATCCGATGTTATGGACGCATCGACGACACAATTCAATTCGTAACAATACTCCGGTAGTAGTGACTGACTTGAGGCGATGTCATGCTTGTCTCGCACAGTTATGAGCTAGAAGTGTCCGATATACCTTTTACAAATATAGTTACATTTGTTTGGTCGTTTATGGGCTAATCGTTTGTCATTAAGCCTGTAGTAAACCATATTTTAAAATAACATACACTTTTTAACCTATAAACGACCAAACAAATGTAACTATATTTGTGAAAGGTATATCGGACACTTCTAGCTCATAACTGGTCTCGCATATGTTGTTTGCGATCACCTTCCACATTGAAAGCATGTGAAAAGCATATCCTTTTTATGTCTGACAACCCTTTTGTGTGCCTTTAGTTGCCAATCAGTTGCATAACTTTTGAGACATACTTGAGTTCATAGCCAAAAAAAATTCACGTGACAGAATAGTAGGGTATACTGTAATAGTAATAGTATGGCCATCTCATTGTATTATGCAGACATGCTGCAATATTACAGGTATACTAATTGTTTAAATGTACTGTATTTGAGAAATAATCACAAATTGTTTTATAAATTGTTATCAAAGAAGAAATAAACGGATTATCTATTAAGCCATTCATATTAATAAAGATGTAATTGATATGAAATAAATGAGTCGTTTTCCAGTTCTCATAAAATTTATTATAAGATTAGTGATCATAAATAATTTAATCAGTGTAATATTGTTTAAATAATAGCAATAATTAAATTGGCTAAACACTCAAGTATAATTTGAAACTTACCAATATCATATAATTGACAGATATTCAGAATTTATATGATATTGGTAAGTTTGAACATTTATATAGAAATAAAACATTTTGTTAATTAAAAAGAATTTTAATTTATCGAAAAACAGGAATTGAAATACATTTCTAATCATATATGTCTTTATAAACACTTTACTTGATGAATTAAAAGTGATAGTAAATTGATTAATACGTTTAATTTATTTATGATAAATTGAATTACGGTAAGTGTATCATAAAGTTGTACTAAATATAATCTAGTTCTTTTGCAACTTTTTTATGCTTAACTTAAAAAAAATTTACTTAAATAAGTAATTCATTACAAATGCCATAAATAATCTAAAACTTTATAAATCTGTTAATTTGAGATGTAATGAAATTTTGAAATTAAATTCGGCCATACTTTTAATTAAGTATAAGCCATATGTGTNGAGAAGGGCGGGAATGCCATCGACTCTATGATATCTGTGTTACTGTGTATGGGAGTCACGATTCCCGAGTCCATGGGTTTGGGTGGCGGTGCCTTAATACTCATTTATAACGGTAGTCACTTACTTACGGATATATCTATAATTTAATTAATTTAATGATTCATTAAATGGGTTGACAGTGAAGACAAACAAGTCGGTTGCCATAAACGCCAGGGAAAAGGCACCGGCAGCCGCATATCCCAATCTGTACAAAGACCGGGGACACGCCAACTCAGTGGACGGGCCGCTAGCCATTGGAGTACCGGGAGAGCTGCACGGATATTGGCATATGTAAACGCCAGGGAAAAGGCACCGGCAGCCGCATATCCTAACCTGTACAAAGACCGGGGACACGCCAACTCAGTGGACGGGCCGCTAGCCATTGGAGTACCGGGAGAGCTGCACGGATATTGGCATATGTTTACAGAGTATGGCAGTAAGAATGTAGCATGGTCAGAGTTGTTTGAAGGGGCCATTGGTCTCTGCAATAACGGCTTTCCTGTGAGCGAACACCTGGGCTCTTGTTTGACCCAAAAGGAGAGTTATATCCTGAAACACACGGCCCTCAAGGATGTCTACGTAAACCCTGAGACCCAGAAAATCTATAAACAGGGAGAAACTATGAAACAATTAACTTTAGGACAGACTCTGAAAAGGATATCAGAATCCGCGGATCCGGTGAAGTTATACTACGAAGAGATCTCTAAGACATTAGTAGAAGACATTGAGAACAGTGCCAAAGACTGGGATGTCTTGAATAATACCCAACCTATCATTACTGTCAAAGACTTTCTGGACTATCGGCCGGTTATTAGCGATGCGGTTCACGTCCGGTTTGATGTGAACAACAAATTGGAAAACAATTTAATGCTTCACTCAAACGCCAGGGAAAAGGCACCGGCAGCCGCATATCCTAACCTGTACAAAGACCGGGGTCACGCCAACTCAGTGGACGGGCCGCTAGCCATTGGAGTACCGGGAGAGCTGCACGGATATTGGCATATGTATACAGAATATGGCAGTAAGAATGTAACCTGGTCAGAGTTGTTTGAAGGGGCCATTGGTCTCTGCAATAACGGCTTTCCTGTGAGCGAACACCTGGGATCTTGTTTGACCCAAAAGGAGAGTTATATCCTGAAACACACGGCCCTCAAGAATGTCTACGTAAACAATGAGACCCAGAAAATCTATAAACAGGGAGAAACTATGAAACAAGTAATTTTAGGACAGACTCTGAAAAGGATATCAGAATCACCGGATCCGGTGAAGTTATACTACGAAGAGATCTCTAAGACATTAGTAGAAGACATTGAGAACAGTGCCAAAGACTGGGATATCTTGAATAATACCCAACCTATCATTACTGTCAAAGACTTTCTGGACTATCGGCCGGTTATTAGCGATGCGGTTCACGTCCGGTTTGATGTTCACAACAAATTGGAAAACAATTTAATGCTTCACTCCTTCCCACTTCCCGGTATGCATTGCAACAGTTAATCACTGTTTCACTTCTTTGTCACACTTTGTGTCCATAATATGTTCTGTGAATATATGAATAGGAAGTGGAAATGTGTTGTCATTCATAATGAATGTGATGCAGAGATACCCGGATTTGTATCCAAACAGCGCCGACATTCTGAAGGATTCCGTGCTATTCTATCACAGACTCATCGAGACCTATAAGTATGCGTTCACTAAGAGATCCCATTTAGAGGACAGTGAGACCAGCAAAGTATTGGAAGTGTTGGAACAGTTGAGGTCCAATGAATTCGCTCAGAATGTGAGCGCTTATATCGATGACTCGCAAACATTTAAAAGTGACTCCGGTCATTACGACAAAACACCCGTCAGTTTAGATCATATTATAAATGTTTGATCAATTTGTTGATTATTTTTCAATGTTTAGGTCTTTATGTCTGAAGATCACGGAACAGCCCACGCGTCTGTAGTGGACTCTCTCGGCAATGTTGTGGCCGTCACCACAACTGTTAACACATAGTCTGTATAATTGATGAAATTATTTAAATCCCAGTTTATTGACGTGTCTTTGTGTGCAGTTTTGGTTCAAAAGTGATGTCTCCACGGACTGGAATCCTATTTAACAATCAAATGGATGACTTTACTACCGG